CTTTTTACTGATGGGGAACAGGACAAAAGGGGAAAAGAAACACTCCAAAATTTTTTCTACTCTGGCGGGGAATCGAACCCAGGCCCTCACCGGTGAAGCGAGAGCGTTAGCCACCAAATAATTGTTGGGTTGCTTCCGGGGGTACTAATTACAAAACCCAAAAAATTTAACAGTTTACAAGAAATACAAACTTTATTAAGTTATTTTGGGGCGGCTAACCCTCCGGGTTTAAAAAATTCAAAAAAATTATCTGAAATAAGATAGCCTTACTTCCCGGCCACCGGGAGACAGACCAACATTATAATTCCCAAAAAAAACAATTTTGTGCATCATAGATTGTTATCCCAAATATAAAAAATATAATCAAAACCCCCCGCCCATAAACAACCCCCCAAACCGTGAAAGGGGGTTTCCTTACTGCTAAAGGGAACCGCAGGGGCGCCCAAATATTATTATTCGGTCAGACTACCTTACGCACAAGATAGTGATGACGACTAAAAAGGGGTGTGTGTAGTAAAGTTGCTAGGAAACACTTTAGGTACGGTACCAATCAAAAACCGGCAGCACACTACACCCGGTTTCCCACCTCCTTTAATATATTTGCCTCTCTTTATTTCCCCTAATTTGCATACCTCTTTAAAGCCCCCAACCAACGCTAAAATTTAAGGGATCTTTATCCATAAAGGCTTTTTTCAAAATATAAACTTAAATCAAAAAATTAGACAACCAGGCACGCTTGGGGAACACAGTGTAGGCTACCCGTCAACCATTTAGAAAGAAACCCCGGGACAGCCTCTCCTCGTCTCTCCCCAATGAATTTTTCTTTTACTATTACGTTCCCTTGGTAAAGTTTGCAAGAGATTGTTGATTATATTTAATCAAAGGGAAGCGCTAAACCCAGGAATTTTTACAGCGCCGGGGGGGGATGTGGGAAAGGGATTCAGGCTTAATTTGGGGAACTGGACACAGATCCAATTCCTAAATCAAGAGCCCCTCACCAACATTAAGGAACCTTCCTTGAGGTAAGAGTTTGTTGTAAAGTAAAAGGACACAAGTAAAACTAAGTACATTTATTGGGCAACTTTCGCTCTCCGGGACTTTATAACCTTACAAACAATACATGAACGAACAAAACGAACAAAGTTCAGGTAAGATCCCAAAGGGGGATGAGGGGGGAAACGGGACAACGAAGAAAGTGCGGAGGGGAGTGTTCTTAGTCGAGAAATAACCAGGGTTTTAACCCCAGAAAAGGGCCTGGGGACAGTATTGAAAAAAAAATTTCCGTTCTTCTGTGGGACTCCGGTGGGTGAGCTGGAGTAAGGGATTTGCGACCTTTGACTAGAGAGGTGCAGAACGAGTCATTCTTAACCCAAAAAAAGCTAAGGGCGAACTTTGGTCATAAATGGTACCTTCCCTTAGAAGGTACCTGTCAGGGGACCCAAAGGGTTATTTAAAAGTAGTTAGGAGCAGGATCATGCAAGGGAGTAAAAAAGGTTTTGTTTGGGTTTTTGTGGTCTGCAATGTTTTCCAAGGAGAGGGGTCCAGTAGTCATGTCGTTCTCAATTTTGTCTACTGTCTGTCCTGACCTCTCCAGTACAGATCAGCGCAGGCGTCTAACGGGGCATGGAAGACCGCTTGGGGCGAAGTCCTCCCATCTGACATCAAGCCCCCAGCGCAGCGTTTGTTCGGGACACGCGCAGTTTAATAAGTTTGTTTTTCTGCAAGAGAAGGGCTGAGGAGAGAAAGTTATCAGGGGACGTATTAGGATTTTAGAGGTGTTTTTTGGGCTTGAGGGGCATTTTTCAGCTTGTAAGGCCCGAAAGGGCCTTACTAGCTATTGCATGCCTTGATGAATGTTCCGTGTAAACGAAAAAGGGTAGCAAATTAACGCCAAGGACATGACAGTTTGGTGAAAGGAAGTAAGTGGGGGTTCAGCTGTTCTGATTTCGACGGAAATGGGGGATCACTTTTTCCGATTAAAATACGTAAGCTGGATTTTTGCTGCATTGGTTTTGATCCTCCATTTTTTTTCCCCAGATGGCTATCCGTCAACCTCATTTGTTTTTTTTGGTGTGAGTGTATCAAATTGGCAGAGTTAATTGTGTAATGCCCGTCTGCATGGCATGTATGGAGTTTGTGGTTTATGGGTTTTGGAATGTCGTTAGTGTAAAAAGAGAGGTAGGGAAAACAGATCCCTGGGGTACTCCACATTTAGTGGAAGTAGTAAAGAAACACCTTGGAATTTGTTTCCCTCATGGAAGGGCCGTCAGAAGTTCAGAGGATTTTTACGAGTATTGAGAGGCGGGGTTGAAGTTAGTGCAGATTTGTACTTGACCCCTCGTGCCACACAGGTCAAAAGTTTTTTCAACGTCTTTTGCAACCAGGCTGTCCTTTTTCTTTTTTTTTGTGTTTTTGGATGTAGTTAGAATGATGTTAATGGCATCCTGTGTGGATCGTGTGTTCTGAACCCAAAACTGGCCATCTGAAAGTGAGAATTATTTCCATATCTGCAAAGGGCGATATTAATGATTTTTTCCAAAGAGTTTTCCAAATTTCGGGGACGATGGGGCAAGTTTCTGGGTCAGAGGGGTTCTTTATTGGGTTTAGGAAGGGGGAAGCATACATTTTAAAGGGAGGGAAGGGAAGTTCCAGGGGAAAGGGAGCATTGAGGAGGTTGTGTAGGCAGTAATGTAGAGTCGGGAAAGGTGTTTCAGATAATAGGGTTTAGGCCAAGGCACCAGGAGCCTTTGGGGGAAGTGTCTGAAGAGTTTTAATGTCTTGGGGTAAAAGGGAGGGGGGTTCTGGAGGAGGTAAGATGCTAATGTTTTGGGGCTGTCTTTTTTGTTTTTTGTTTTGTGCAGTGTTCCTGTTTATGTTCTAATTGTTAATAACGTTAGGGTGAGGGGTGAGCGGGAAATGTTCCCCGAGTGTTTGAAGATGTTGGAACAGCCTTGGTCTAATGTTGTGTTGTTGTGGGTGATGTGTTTAAATTTTGTTGGGGGGAGTATGCCTCTGATTTTTTTGATAAATTCCAGAAGGCTTTAGTGTTTTTAACACGCTCCCTGTCCGCTTGTTGTATTAGTCGTGACCATGATTGTTGTGGTTTTGGGTCTAGGCTTGTAAAATGTTTTTCAAAGGTAAGTGAGATCAATCGACTTAAAATTAAATCTATGTGTTTGTAAGGAAGGGGTTTTGGGGTAGCAGAAATTAGTCTTTTTGTTCTATGAGGGTTTTGAAGGAATAACGAGGGTGTGAGTTTTTTTGGGATTGCGATTTTGGCGCTTGTGTAAGGGTGTCCTGGATAATCAATTGAGTATCGATGTCAAAAGTTTGTTTTTGTAGTCATGGTGGGGTTAAATTGCTTGTGTTTTTT